CTATACCATCTCGCCTGACGTACCTAAGATAGCTGGGAGACCGAAGAAGGAGTCTGCTCAAGCGGAAAAGATAGCTGGAAGACCGAAGAAAGAGTCTGCTCAAGCGGAAGAGACCCGGGAGCCAAGAGCCATCCTCACGTCCAGACAAGTAGAACTTGATGAAAGTGCTAGGAGAGGACTAACCTGCCACAGCACAGACATCTCCCATCAAAGGCCCTTTAAAAGAGCCTGAGAAGAAGCCATACGCACCTCTAGAGGCTTGAGGGGAACCTCCCAAGGGGGCCGGCTAACAGACTGACCAATTCTGAGAACCACGTATGAGTGGGCCAAAACGGCACCACCAACAACAGACGTTCACTCTGACCAACCTTACACTGAACAGAATCGTTTGGGAGCAAACGGGTCGACTGGAAGGCATAAGACTTTCTTGGGCTAGAGCATCCACACCCAGAGGCGACGGAGGAGACAAAGAAACCAGAGCGGGCAATGCTCATGCTCTATTTTTTAATATCAGCCAATCGTCAAGGTAACTCAAAACTCAAACACCCCGTCACAACAGGGCCAAGACGCATCCATTCACCTTGCGTTCGAGGCCAGTTCAATGAAAGAATACAGCATTGGCAAGCTTTATTCCAAAAGCAAACCCGAGGAACTTCCTGTGTCTCTTGACGATCTGGATGCATGTGAAGCGAGTGTTGGTAGCAAAAGCGCCGCATCAATCACATGAAGTAGGCTGACCATGGTGAGCATTAATAGCTTGCCATAAGAGATACTCTTACACGTGAACTCATTCACACAGTAGCTCAGCTCAGTGCATCTCAGTTGGGATGAGAAGAATAATGATTAGTTATGCAAATAGTGTTGGTAGCCTGAAGTGCCAAAAACCATGTTGCACGACAAATGTGTGTTGCAAAACTCCACAGAGCCAGCTCATTGCACAGAGTCCACTATTTGTTCTAGCTCAAAATAGCAGTGGAGCTGAAAAAATAATTATTATTAGCCGGGCAGACTAGTGTTTGGTAGCATGAAGCGCCAAAAACCATAGCGTACGGCAAATGTCAGCTGTGGAGTCCGTGCTTAAAAACAGTCACATGAACAAGAATTGGAAGTGTAAGCGCCAAATCAATGTACGTGCCTTAATTAATGCAGTGCAGGAGTAGAGACAGGAAAAACCCTGCTCACTCTGCAGCCCGAGTCACTATGGCATTAGGTGTAAAACAGCTTGCCATAGGAATTTACTCTAGATATGTGAGCATGCCCACTGATTTGTTCCAGCTCAAAGCATCAGCAGAGCTGAAAGAAAAATTAACAGCCGGGCAGATTAAGGCTTGGTAGCATGAAGC